AACGTATTTACCCCAAAACCATTCTATGAAAACTTGTTTCTTATCATTCTTTTTTCAATACAAATTTTCAATTCAACTTTCAAAGTTTAATGTAATCAAATGAATTGATATGTCAATTTCACAAGATGAATATAAATACTTTTATTTTAATTCACCATCCAAGGAATAACACAATTCCCTCTTTTCAAGTATCCTCAACAATTAGTTATTTTAAGACTATTTCAACGTTTTGAACAATAATTTCCAAAATGAGCAACAATCCTCATATTCCTTGAAATTCATCATTTATATAAATATAAATAAGAAATTTTCCAAACATCCATTTGTTTTGACACCCAAAATAAATATAATAATATCGTTCATGGATTTTCAGTCTCTTTTAAAAAAAATCCCAAATTCTAGGTTTTTCCACCAAAACTATACAACTCAAATCTTTTGAAAGAAAACTTTCCAAAATCATCTTTTCTTCAATCAACAAAGACCAAAACCTATAAGATCATTTTAAAAGAACAAGAGACAAACCCACTTTTAAAATCGCTCAACTTCTCGAATCAACAATCAATTTTCAAAGTGATCGAAAAATGATTTCGAAAATCATCTAGATCTTGCAAAAAATATATATAACTCTAAGAAAATCCCTACCTCAAGTTTTGATGAAGAAATGAGATGAAACCCCTAAAATCAACGGTGTCAAAACTCGACCTTCACCGCACACAACGAAGCCCTCAAGAAGTTAACCAAGTTTGATGAAGAACCCATGGCAGAACTCTAATGGATCTTCAGAAATCGAGATTTTGATCCGATTTGGCATAGGAAAATGTAGAGAGAGGGGAGAGGAATGGGTTTTTAGAGAGAGATATATAAAAGTGATCTGAAATATCAGATTCATAAACTGATATAACATGGTCAGCTCAAGCGTGGAAAGCCCCGCTCGAACGTCAAATACACTTTCCCAGTACTTTTGCAGATAGGTCAAACTTCTGGAACAAAACATTCTTCGCTCGAGTGCATAAACGGCCGCTCGAGCGGACAAGCAACTTCTAATGCATTTTGCATTTTTGCTTCGGGGGCGCTTGCCCCTCAACCCCGCCAAGGCGCTGCCCTAAGACCCGCCAAGGGGAGCTGCCCCTTGGACCCCGGCGAGCTGACCGGGCAGCTCGATTCCCGACATACTCAGCGAAGTGGCAAAATTGGGATCGCTACACCGCTGCTACCACTCTCTGTTTTGCCTTTTTTTTTTTTTTTTGGGAGGACATCGTTTTGTGCACTATACCAACACCCAAGATAAATCCTCTCTAGAGGATTTGAATGTTGTATGCAGCTAAAACCGTTAGATTTTATTTGTAATTTTTGACTTCAATAATTTAATTTTAAAAATATTATATCAAATTTTTTGTAGGTCTGTATTATATAAAATGATTTAAAAATAATTTTTTTAAAAAATAAAAAAAATTACTCAATACAAAAAGTTACTAATAAAAGATCAATCCCAAATTCATTTTGTTTGGTTTTGAGTTTTCAAATATATTTTACGAATTTTCAATTCATATATATATATTTTTATTTTTAGTGAAAATTTTAAAATATTTTAATGAATTTTTTTAAATACACATAATTTAGATGTACTTAAAAAATAAACATCCATAAACAAATATTTAAAAATTTAATAAATATAAAAATATATTGAAATTTTCTATTTTTAAGTATTTAATAATTTTTTTTTTAAAAAAACCCATATATTATAATTTTTAAGTATATTTAAATAAATTGAATCTAAAGAATAAAATAAAATAAATTAAAATAGTTCAACTAAAAAGTATATATGAATTAAAAATTTTATAAAGTCCAGAACGAAACCGCGTGGCAGCCAACTTTGGTCAACCAAGTCGTATGGTGATATGGACTTGTGTCACCATGCTTTCGACTGCACTTGACTTATTTATGTCACTAATATTTATGCCCTTGAAATAGTTAATAGATGTTTTAAATTTTCTTTTTTATAAAAATAAAAAATTCAAAAAATTATATTTAAGATTTTGAAACACTTAAAATCTTAAAAATGAAAAATTATTTAGGTATAATATATAGTATAGATAGATAGATAGATAGATAGATAGATTGTGAGATTTAGGAAATAAATAAATATTATGGGAAAGATTTTAGGAACTTGTAGTTCAATTATTATTATTTTTTTAAAATCTATAGTTATTTTGTGCCAATAGTATTACTTTTAAAATTAAAAAAATTAGCAATTAGTTTTTTTTTTTTTTAAATCTATAGTTACTTTGTTAGCCAATAGTACTATTTTTAAATATTTTTAAAATTACAAAATTAACAATTGTGGTTTTACGTTTTTTTAATCTATAATGTTTTTTTTTAAAATATATATATATATATATAATTACTTTGTTATGAGATGAGATTTGTGTGGTTTTTTTTTAATTTTATTTTAATGTATAGTTACTTTGTTATGAGATGAGATTTAGAAAATAGAGAAATATTGGGGGGAGAGATTTTAGGAACTTGTAATTCAAAATTTTATGTGGTTTTTTTTTTTTAATCTATAAATACTTTGTTAGCTAATAGAATTATTTTTAAATATTTTTAAAATCACAAAAATTAGCAATTGTAGAATGAGACTTTAGAGCTCTCACAAGCTTTCTCACTAGTCATTCAAAATTTTAGGCAGATTTATTTTTTTTTGTTTTTTTATTATCTATAATTACTTTTTCAGCCAATAGAATTATTTTTAAATATTTTTAAAATTACAAAAATTAGCAATTGTAAAATAAGACTTTGGAATTCTCACAAGCCTTCTCACTAGAAATCATATTTTTCTTACATAATATATAGATCATTTGGTATAATTTTTTAGCTATGTAATTAATATCTTAAATTAGACTGCCATTTTATTGTACCTCATCTTTTAATAAATAAAATTTACATTCCGTACTGTCTTATAATTTTTCCATCAAAAATATAGTATTGGAAAAAAAAAATTAAAAACTTAGAGAGATCATCTTATCTCCATTGCAAAATTAATCTTGAAATAAGGGGCCTTTTCATCTTCAATATCAAAATAATTTTAAAATTAATGAATAGTAGTGTAATGTTGAAGAACTTAAATTAGGTTGATCTTCAATCAAAAATCTCAACAAATCAAGGATCATCCAAATTGGTAACTGTGGTCTAGTTTACTGTTCTTGTGAAAAGAACGTGGGCTCTTCCTTGAAAGCAAAGGATGTACACAAAAGTCAATACAATCCATTCAATTTGGTCCAAGTTCACACAACTACTCCTGGGCCCCTCTTCCAAGGGCACAGGGCAAACCCGCAAGACCATGAAATCCAGGGAGAGGTTATTCCACGCCATTTATTATGACAAGTCTCATGATAATTTGTCTTCAATTCAAAATATAAACCAGAGTATGTTGTCTTGTCATGAGTTTTATTTTAAAGTAATGTTAGCAATATCAAAAGTTTTATTAAAATTTTTATTAAATGTTTCAGATGATATCAAACTCATATTATGTGGGTTTCATGTGGATCTCACGCTATGTGAAACATTTGGTAAAAACTTTAGTAAAAATTTTAAAATTTCTAACATTTTTGTTTATTTTAATAATTTGAATTATTTATTTTGTAGAGTTTTTTTTTTATGTATGTTATTTTTGAAAAAAAATTAGTTCATTTTTTTTTTGTTTTTTTTTTTCAATTTATCATAATTATCTCAAAAAAACAAATAAATGAGGAGTGTGTTTTTTTTAAAAAAAAAACTTCATTTTTTGGATAACAACTTGATAAATTGAACATGCAACGATCATCGAATCATTCTAATTCTTTTTAATGATGATATACACAAAACACTTTACAAAATAAACAGTTTAAATTATTGATACGAGGCTTATGGTAAATCCTACACACTAATACATTCTAATTCAATCCAACCCTTGATAAAAATTAACTCAAACATATAGGAGGATCACACTATTTTAAAAAACAAAATTCAAATTAAGGTGTCAGATGAACTTTTCCCAAAACCACCACATAATTTTTACAAGAACCATTACTCGCCTCGCCATCATGCCATTGGAAGAAGGGGCACCTGTGGGAACATCTCTACCAGCTAATGAATCATTTCAATAATACGAGCACTGCCATGCCAAGACATAGCTACACCGCTAAACTTCAAAATTTTGTTAAAGAGTATATTTAAATTTTTTATAAAATTTTAGAGCTTTTACAAATTTAATCAAATGAGTCTAGAAATAAAATATAGAGTTTTCAAGGCTTACTAATTAACTCTAGTGGAGTTAAAAATAAAAAAATAAAAGAATAAAAAATAAAAAAAGAAGCACACTTTATATCGAATTTTCAATCTTCTATAAATAAATTCAAAGTTTATTCATATTAGAGACTTATCCCATTTCATTTCTTTAAACCACTTAAGTTAGATTCATATAATCTAGCTGCTATGCCATCTATGGCTAATTAGCATTATTGTACACTTTATTTTATTTGTCTTTGTGTACCTTATTTTTTTGATTTATTTATTCATTTGTTTAGACTCACATCGCTTATTGTAACCAATTGATTTTAAATTGGTTGCCTAAAATAATTCTAACTTTTAGTTGTCTCTTGAGTCTCAATATTGACCATTTAATTCTCCAATGACTACTGTTGTGTTTATCTTCTAATAATTCTAATAATTTGTTCTCTTGCGGCTCTCGAGAATCAATTCTCTAACGATCATTGTTGTGTTTATTCTCATAAAATGTGAATATTTGCTTATTTTTGTTTAAATATTAATCTCCCAATATTTTGTTTTTATTTTTAATTTTATTAATTTGAATTATTTTTGTCAATATAATCAAAAATATATATAATTTACAAGTATCATGTGAAAGCTAATGTTAATACGTTTTTGTAGAAATAAAAATACTAAATAATAACATTGATGATGACTTATTGTGCTTCTCGCTATTATATATATGTTACTATGTACATATGCAAGGATAGTATAACCATCCCTCTCTCTCTCTAGTAAGATGGTGAACAACAGGGCTTTAGTTCTTACCACTTATTGTTGCTCCCTCTTCATTTGGTTCCTCTTCATTTCGAGTGCTATGGCTGCAAGACAATTATCCACTGTTTCTCAAACCGGTTTGTACTCTCTCTCTCTCTCTCTCTCTCTCTCTCTCTCTCTCTCTCTCTCTCATATTAGTACATATCCTAGTAGTTATGTTTACACATTCTTCTATTTTATTCTTGTATTATATATTATTGCAGCAGCATTCCATTCAAACAATTGTCCTGTGATCAACCCCGAACCAAGTAAGCCACCTACAGCCCCTGGCTGCAGAGCAAAATCTGAAACAAACCCCTAAAAAGAGAGAAGAGAAGAGAAGTGAAGCAAACCATGTCATATTACTTCCAAGGGAATTAGAAAGGACCTTAAATTTGCTATCCCTTACTTTTTTGTTAACTTTTTTTCTTTTTTCAGTTCTTATAATAAGGAAGAGTCCCGGTGTGGTTTCTTATATGTCTATATTGCCAAAATTATATTGCCCTTTGAGCTTTGTGTAAGTGTGTTTGGATTCTCAAGTCACTATTTCACAATAAATAGAATTTATATTAATACAATGTTTCTGTATTTTTTATTTTTACTTTTTTATTTCTATTTTTTTAATATTTTTTAAATTTTTTTATTTTTGGTTAGATGAGTTTGTTTGGGGTTGGCATCTTAATAAGGACAATTTACACTTGTGTCTATTTCTAAAACTCTAGGACCAATAAGCCCAATCTTAAATCTTCTTAGGCCAAAATGATATTATTTATCCAAAAGGACATTTATCTATTCAAAATTTACCTGTTTGTCTATATGTTCAAATACCATTTATCTATTTAAATGTCTCACTATCTATACGCGTGTTACTTATGTGTGTAACTTTTTGTTCAAATGTCTAACTATCTATTTAAATGTCTCAACTTTTGAACTTTTAAGGAAATCAGTCCAAGCTTTAAACTTTTAAGTTCATAAGTTATTTTTGTGGGACAATAATGCCCTCATATGTATTTAATATTAAAAATTTTAAGTTCTCATAACTTCATATGTACATGTTTGTTTTTAATAAAATTGAAAATTTTAATTGATTTTTCTGATATCAATATGAATCTAAAAGAACAAAACAAAACAATTGAATTTCACTATTTAGTTAGATTTCATTGTTTAGTTAGACTTAAAAAAAATAAAAATAAAAATAAAAACTAGACAATGAAATCAGCAACCAAATGACTTTAGAAATTAGGAAAAGATCTTACTAACAAATGCCCCTAGGCACAAATAAAAGACAAAAAAATTAAAGGACACAAAATACCTTTTATTAAATGCAATGTATTTTTATTGAAATCAACACATTTTTTTAACATTTTCACAAGTTTTTACACCACTACGAGAAAAAACACATTTACTGACCACTTTTGCCGACCAAAAATATTTTGGTCGCAAAAAAATCACATTTGCCTACTAAGAAAAAATTGGTAGGCAAAAGTTCATACTTTCACTGACTAAAGTAATTTGGTCGCTGAAAAGTAATTTTCCGCGACTAATTTAAAATATTGGTTGCCAAAAATTTAGGTGGGAAAGTGAAAAACTAGGGGGGGAGATTAAAATCTTTTAGCGACTATTACAATTTAGTCGCACATTTCAAAACGACGTCGTTTTGTTTGTTAAATGCAGAGAGTCCAAATAGCCGACCAACACTGTTTGTAGGGGAAAACAAATCAAACCCCTATAATATTTCATAAAAACGCGCCCAATCGATCCCATTCTCTCAGTCGCGTCACTCATCTCGCCTCTTCACCATCAACGCTGTCGTCCGCCGTCCTCGCCTCTCCACCGTCAACGCCACCGTCCGTCTTCGCCTCGCCACCGTTATCTAGGTATATTTTTTCAAGCGTCTGTCTATCTCTCTCTGTCCCACTTTTTCTCTTTGATTTCCCTTCTCTTTCTCATACTCTTCTTGTTTTGAAGAGAGCATTTCAGTAGAAGAAGGAGCTCTGTAACTCTGTACAGCTCATTGGCATCGTCGTTACACCTGTCCAAATCAAGCCCCTCAGCTCTGGCAAGGTCATCGCTTCGTCTTGCCTAGCCGTCAAGAAATCCTGTACCGACACTGCCTGGTAAACATTTCTTCATTTTTTTGTTGAAACCAACCCATTTATAAAATCAATAAGTATATGTAGGGTTTTTAGATTGTTTTGTTAGTCTTGTCTTGTTAATTCCAAAATGAGAGTCATTTAAGATTAGTGGGAATTTTGGCCCCAATTCCTGGGTTTGGCAATTTTGTTGCTAGTGTCTGATTAGTGATTATTTTGGCCCCAATCCCTAGGTTTGGGAATTTTGTTGCTAGTGTGCCTCATGTTTTTTAGCCTAAAAACAAATTGAGGTATAAATTCTATCTCCCTCTCTTACTCATTCTCTGTCTGTCTCTCCTTCTCCTTCTCAATGTTTGTGTTCATGCTCTGTTTTTTTTTTTTTTCCGTTCTTGTTGTTTTGTCTAAGGTAAGAAAACCGACTCAAATTTGTACTGTTCCTTTGTTTTTGGGATGATGAAAATGCATTAAAAATTATTATTATCATCTAAGTTTTCTTGAATTATGTAGATGTATTTATAATTTGTTCGTTTACTTAATTAAATATAAGAGCCATCTTCTGGAATAGAAAAATAATGTTAATGGTGAATCTGATATGTTATTTGCATTTTTTAAAAAAAATTTGTGGGTACGTAAATCTTTGATAGATTATCGTGTTTGGAGCCATCCCTGGTAAGAAATTCAAATCCACTTTCTCTTCTCTCTCAATTTCCCATCCTTCCCTTCAATTTTCTTAGTTCACTACTCTGTAGTCTGTAACACAAACCAGGATTAGGGGTTTTTATTTTTATTTTTATACTTGGAATGCAATTTGATTAGTTCTTGTTTTTTCTTGTTTAGATTTCTTTTGATGGTGAAATTGTAAAGCTAGAGCTTTTCTTGAAATGATTTACTCTGTTTCATTAGGATGGTTGTTTTATCTATATACCTAGAAACCGAACTTTGAGAAATTTAGATGTTGTAATTGAAATGTCGCCGGAAGGGGCGAATTTAGGTGGTGATGGAGCAAAATACTTGTTTGCCATGGAGTACCATAATAATGTCAGTACCTCTTTCTATCTCTAGGTTTCACTATCTTCAAGGCAAACTTTTTCTTCCTTGTCCCCAAAGTTTGAGAGGGAATGATAAGATATCTGAGTCATGTGTAGCTACAGCTGATCAGCTAAAGTCTTCTATCTCCTATGTGATTTTGATTTTCATTCAATTTGTTCATTTCCAAGTTCTTTTCTTTAATTTAATTTATGTGTAAATTATGCACACCACCTGTTTGCTAATATGCCTTTGAAAATAGAAAGTACAAAATCTGTTAGTGTCTCAACCATGAATAAAGAGGCATTCTAACTACCAACCACCAACATTAAGCTATAAAATTTGGAATAGAAATTTATACTCTTGGTCTAGTAACAAATAATGAACCTTACCAAGCTTAAACAAAAGAAATCTAAGCTTCTTTCAGAAGGTGTATACTTAAGAAATCTAAGGTATGAAAATGTATACTTTAAGTGTAGTTTAAGTGAATTCTGTATATGTAAACAAATTGTATCTTAGTCAATATATAGTGGGCATTTTTTTTCTTTACAGCTTATTCATTTAAGGTAGGTACTGAATTTTCCTTGGCTGCATTTGCAGAACCGTTATACATGTTGACAAATCACTCGAATAATATTTGCTTTTCTAATAAATTTATTGTTTGAATATAGTTTCAGAAGCTAGGTATTGAATTTTACTCGGCTGCATTTGGTTTCCTAGGTACTCAATTAGATATTTGTTCATGTAAAATATATTTTGCACTATATGAAACAGAAAGGGAGAGAATACTCTTTATACTTACCCACGCAGTGAAAATTTGTCCGTTGGTCTGCCTTGATCTGGGTTTTGCAGGTCTGAGCTTGAAATCAACTATACATGGATCGCAATTGCAAAGGTAAGCTTCGTTAGAATTTCTGCTTTAAAGCAATTCATGTATAATGTTTATATTTGTTTTCTTCCCTCTTTATACTTACCCTGATAGGTGTGTTCATGTTCCTAGCACTGTGAGAATCAAAATCATTAAGATGTATAAAGTCTTGGTTTGCGTGGTTTCACATATGGTTTGTAGCTGCAATTTACACATTGTCAATTGGTCCATGAGGATGTATAATGCTATATCAGAACTTAGACAAGACAAAAGCATTCTATACATGTTTGGAATGTGGGAAAAAATATTTATTGATACCCACTCGTTAGATTGTTTCTTGAATGGACTGTAGTCCCTTGTTGCCTTGACTAGAACTTACTGCACATGAAAGCATACCTAATGGCCACATTGCCCTCAATGCCATCCAACGTCGCCATGCAAAAGTTTCTACTGGGGACACAATATCCATGAGCAGGTGATCATAAATTAGTAAGGAATTGTTGATTGCTATTGTTGTGTTTTTACCAAATTTTTAATGCTTTGTGGTGATAATATTTCTAGATTTGTTCCACCTGAAGACTTCAACCTAGCATTGCTTACTCTTGAATTGGAGTTTGTAAAGAAAGGGGGCTAAAGATGAGCAGGTATGAGCATTTTTCCATTATACATTTTTGGAAAATACAGTATCAATTGCAGCCTGATATAATGGGTTTGCACCAACTAGAATTTTATGTTGTTTTGATAGTTGAAAGCATTTTGCCTCATTTGGTTGCTTTATTTATGCTTAGGGATGAATGGCTGCCCTGTGTCATGACTTTTGTGCTATTGCTCCAGGGAAGTAACTGAATATGTTCGTTTGGCAGGTTGATGCTGTTCTTTTGTCTCAGCAGGTTCGAAAGAGATTTATCAACCAGGTAATAGCTGGTAGTGGTTTTCCTTACTTAATTCCCCCCCATATATTTATAGGCACTATTAGAGCAACTCCAAGGGAAGAGGCATATTAATCCTGTTAGCTATTTTAGCTAATATTACCCTAAATTCTCACTCCAATCGGCTGGCTAAACGGCTTCCTATTTTCCCTCATCCCTTCCCCGCGGGCTTCAATTGGAGAGTGATTGAAGGCTTTCCAAACTCGTCTCTCTCGTGAAAGTATTCTGTTCCTTCTTCAAACACGTCTCTCCCGCGAAATCAATCTGCTCCTTCAGCATGAAATCGACCTTCCCCTTCAGCGTTGTCTGCAACTCCCTCTATCTGACCTCTTCCTCAAGGTATGGATCCTTCTGTCTCTCTGTCTTCCTCTTCTATGCAACTGATAAACCTTCTCTCTCCGAGAAAAGCAATCTGCAACCCTAGAGGCATCCAATCTGATTTAAAATTCCATATTTAATCTCATATTTATGTCGTATGGAGTATAGACAACTTGAATGCAATGCACATCTTCCTGTATATAATGTAAAACATCAAAGTCCAGACCAAAATTATACATCCGAATTTAAAATTGTGTCAATATACTGTTTACACCTGTCTGAAAGACCAACTTATCAAAGGCATCTGATTTAATGAAAGTAAAAAAACTCCTCACAATGGGGACTGAATGCCTTTCCTTGAATATAGATGATGTTAGTTTATGAATTTTAGTTTATCAATTTTACTTTTAATGATCAGTAATCCGGACATAGGGATAAAATTAGTTTATGAATCAGGACCTGCAAATCATAGGTTGGTTTGGACCTTTGGAAAGTCTTGATGAAAGAAGATATCTTTACAGCTATTGATTTGAAAGAAAAATGGAATGCTCTCAACAAATACAAATTGATTGATTGATTAATTGATATAAGGAAGGAATGAGGGGAGGGAGGGGAGGGAGAGTGAGTAAGAAAACAAAAACAGTTATTATTGTTGTAAGGGAAGGGTGTTTGGTGATAAACAAACATGGAAAGGTATGAGATTCTGAGAGACATAGGATCAGGTAACTTTCTTCACACAGGGCACCCTGTCAAGACCACCACGCAACCATATTCATTAGTTTATTTAAAGAAGGAAGAAACTACTGACAGTAAGACTCGATCCGAGTATCACACTCGATAAGACATCACAAACTCATTGGTCTTTATTCGATAGTCAAATTAACTAGCACAGATTAAGCAAATTGCTTTGACTAATTTTTTAGTTAATTGGTTTGACTTTTAGGAATGTTGAGGGTATATGTACATAATACTAGTTGCAGCAAAATAAATATAAAACATTATACATGACACGAGAGGCATAGAGAGTGGTGTTGGGTCCACACCCTTATCTGTGTTCAGTGCAACTAGCAAAGTTGTGAGGGTAATTAGAGAGCAACCCTTACCTTTGAAAAGAGACTGAAACAATTCTAGCTCTGTATTGAGCAATTTGTAAGAAAGCAGGCTCTGCCAGATCAAAGTGTTGGAGGGGAGGGTTGCACCACCCACCATTGTCATTAGATTGAGAAGGGTTAGGTGGACAGAAGTTTGTAGCAGTCACAGTGATGGTCTCAGGGAGGCACAATTGTGGGTCACTGTTGCATTTGATCTGATAGCATGCCCCACAGCTCAAGCCATTGTTGAATAGAGCAGTGCTTAGTGCTGCAGTGTTAGTGCCATAGCCTTGGCTATACAAATTGCCATACCCACATGCATCTCCTGCCACACCAAATCAAGTATTAGAATCCCAAAACATTAAATTTATCAAATTTTACTAGAAAAATCTCATTCTTTTAACAGACAAGTTTATAAAACTCAAACAAAAGTCACTTTAGTAGACTAAAACTCAAGATAAGTAAGATGTGAAGTTATGGGTCAAAGCAATGCAATTTTGTTTTGCAAAATCAGTAATTCTAAAATCAAATATATATTTTTTTTTTTACAGATAAGTGCTCAAAATAGCAACACTGCATTTTCATCTTAAATGGGGCCGCTAGAAAGAGTAGTGTTGTCAATACGAACTTATGGTGGGGTTAGATGTTAGGATGCAGTCACTATTGAACTTAGATAAAGACCCGCAGAGCTACAATTCACTGAAATTTCATGGCAAATGAACATGTTGGTTAGGTAGGTTGCTCTCTCGTATGAGAGAGAGACAGAGAGAGTGTGTAATTGTATAGCGCAATGAGTTAGGAAAATGATTTTCTGCGAGGAATATTGATTTGGCTGTGATATTGCCTTGAAAATTAGACTCTAGTAATAATTGCAGGGAAACAATATGGACAATGCTTCACTCTCCCTCCCTCTATATCTACACAATAGGTTTCTCTCTATGATATAAAAATTTCTTAGTAGCTGATATGAACTAAGAAATATCATTGTCTCTTCCATAAAATTGTCTCTTCCATATCATTTGTAGGTGGTAAATTTCTTAGTTCCTTTCTTATTTCTTTGGTATTTTTTGTCTCGTCCATCTCAGTAGTTTTGAAAATTTTGTTAAGGCTTCATCTTCTTCTAGAAAGAAAACCAAGCAATCAGCTAAAAAAGGCTCTTTTGATTCATATTCCTTTCGCTCTAAAGACCATCAAAATCTGTGTAATGCACAGTTCACTGATCGCAGTGTTACTAGAACGAAATGTTGAACCCAACACATTTGATGAGCTTTCTATTAGGAATTGGTTTGATTGTTTGGGTGGTAATGCTGTGTTGAATTTTGATGACATAGTGAATAGGTCTTGGGTTCGAGAATTTTATTGCAACATTCATCCTCTAATTCATAATCTTTTTGGATGTATGTGACGGGTAAAAGTTTTGAGTTTAATGCGGATATTGTTGCTAATATTCTTGGTCGCGAACGGCCTCTTGTGTGTGACTATCCCCAAGATAAGTGTTATGCTTCTATCCATTTGATTTCAATCTCATTGCCTATACCCTATTAGGTGCTCCTTATAATTAGATTCCTGGTGTTTCACTTTCTCACCGTTCTCTCATTGCACCTTACAGGATCTTGAATCTCATTGTCTCACACAATGTCACTCTTACACTGCATTTTTCTGATGTGTCTTATGATCAAGGGTACTTCCTCTATTCCATTAGCCAAAACTTGTCAATAGATTTTTCTGATACACCTTATATATAGTCAAACATTAAAATGCACTAACAATTACATTTGTGGATCATTTTTATTTTGCTTTCTATAAAAAGCAAAGGGACATTTTTTTTTGTTGCCATTCATACAAATTATTAATAACAATTGAATATGAGACCTCACATCACAAAGTATGCTATATAACCACTAGAAAACATTACTTTAGAAAGTGTTGTTGGGTCCACAATGAAGTTCAAGTTTTCATTATTGTTTGGTGGTTGATAAATAAGAAGCTGTAGAGTGTGTATTAGCATCAGGTTGCTGAGGTTTATAAGGAGGTCTGGGTCTTAGTCTTTCCTCAGATTAGTGGTTCTTTGTTTCCCTATCTATCTGTGCTGATTATGATAATTCTGTGCTAACTCTGCTTCTGAGGTTGGGATCTGTTAGTCTGCTAATCTCTGCTACTGTGACAAGCTTGGCCTTAGTCTCAAGTTGGATTCATATGTGGCTGGAGTTATGATATTAACCACTGATTTGCACAACATACTTAAGACTAGGTCTAGTTTTGCTTTACAAATGGTGGCTGAGCTAGTGTGTAGCCATCTGTTGTGATGATCTCTAGTGTAGTGTCGTCTGCTGGGATGGTCTCTGGCTACTGGTCTGGGGAGTTTGCTGCTGTTTGTTGTGATGGTCTCTACTGTGGAGCTTGCTGCTGTCTGCTGGTCTGTCCTAGTTGAATGTCTGTGTTGGTTTGCTGATCTGTGCTTTTTTTTTCTTTTTTTTTCTTTTGGCTTTTGCTTTTGGATCTTGCTTCCTAGATAAATAGGATTTCAAATAGGTAGCAATGATTTTGCATGAGTTTCACATACTTCCAATGAAATGGAAAAATGAGTAACATTAAAAAGAAGGTATGTTGATAAACATGTCTATTTTGACATTCACAAGAACTAGAATTGGAAATGTAGTTAAATGTAGAGAGACAGACACAAACGTCCAAACACATGAAAGCACAGCTGTATGAATGACATATATTAGCTTCATTGCTTTCATGGCAACTTATACACAAACATGACACTACATATATTTTTCTCACATGCTGTGCTTTATTCCTGGCTAGTGGGAATATGACATGGTCTAATCCATGGCTTGCGAGTGATTTATAATGCAAATGCTTGCTCTTTCAGAATGTGTATTGTGAAAACTAAATGGAATATCATGTCGAGTCTTTCTAAGAAGCTAATGCGAATAATGTTGGAACAAAAATGCTTGGGACCTGTGGCCAGTTTATCCGTGTAGGCACTTAGGTGTTGGAACTTGAAGTCAAAGTGATTTGGCAGAATCTGTCCATTTGTATGAAGTTGACTATTGTGATGGATTAATACGCATTATTTAGTCTTTTTGTTGGTAGTCTGGTTTATATTTTCCTAGAATTGACTTTGAGGCCTCATGACATGCAGGTTATGACGACGGGACAGGGGGTAACATTTGAGTATCATGGCAATGGTTATATTTTCACCGTTAATCAAGCTGCTATAGAGGGGCAATAAAAGTCAAAAGGTATTGAAAGAGGGATGCTTTCAACTGAGACATATATTGTCTTCGAAGCGCCAAATTCCAATGGAATAAAGGTAATATTCATCGTCCTTGCTGTATGATTTCTTGACTTCACATTTATTAGTTGAGTTAAAGTTTTCAAATGATAGCTTGCTTTAATATGAATCAGGGGTTTGCTGAAATGTGTATGCTTGCGTGCCTCTCCTTTCTGTTTTAATTTATATGATCATATTGTCCACAATGATTCTTTAAATTCACTTAGATGGGTGTGATGTATTGGTTCAATATATTCAACTGAAATAGAATGTCACCATTGGAGTGGTATAGCAAAAAAATGGCTTATTTTATTATTTATTTATTTATTTTTGCACTATAGCAAGCCAAAAAATGATTTTTGCCTTGCGCCATTGGAGACGCTCTAATGGAGAAGTGATAAATTTCAGATGCCATGGATGCTCTGCTTTTCTAATGACTGATTTGGGAATTGGGGACCATCTTTTGGTTTGTATTCTTTTTGCTCTAGATAAGTACACTAAAGTTTGATCAATTTAATAGTTTGTCATGACTCAAGCTGGTTCTCATTGAGATAATCAACATAATATTGACTTGACCTAAAACCTTGTTTTCTATATCCTTGTCGATAACAGTTCTTATGGAGCCTAACTTTACCAGAAACCATATTTATGCAATTTTATGGAGGTTGTTGACTAAAAATGGCACGAACAACACACAACTTTGCTGTGACCTAAGTTGGCTTTTGCGCAAATGCATTTGTTTAGGCTGTCAATTTTGTGTATTTTCTGTTTTAGAAAAGTTTTCAGTTATCAATTACAGATTTCCTGATTTATATGCTACTGTTTGTTATGGTAAGTTTTTACTCCTTTCTGGTATCTAAATTTGAGCTGAACTCAAATTTGCTATCTTTGGCAATTCCATATTTTTCTTTATTAATTTCATGTTTTACAAGGAATTAAATTTGATTACATAACTTCCTAGTGGTGCAAGTCATCTTGTACATTAGATAGACCTGTCATGCTACACCTTCTTCGTGCTTTTAGCAGATTGCCTTCCCTATGAAAGCAAGAACTACAATGTTGGATTGGATTTACAATTTGATAATGAAAGTCATTTAATTTGTTAATATGACCTTTGCTTTTCATGGTAAAAATATTTGATAATAATAAATTTAAACATTATGTATAAATTGTATCATAGTTTATTGATTCATGGCCAGTATGAGTTAGTTTGGAGGTTCCAATATTGAATTAAATATTAAAGATGGGCTTAGAAAATTTAGTTCGAGTCAATTTTTTGCCAATTTAAAAGCTTTGGCACAATTTATCTATCTTAGCATTGAAGCCAATATTTGTCACGCCCCCAAAATAATTACAATAGTTCATCGCCAATCAATAATGTAAAATAAAATAAATAAGATATGAAGCTTTCATCAATTAGAGTTCATTTACAAAAATGACAAATGCAATATACATTCATAAGCTTTACCCTGAATCTATAGCATGTGATATCGACTAAGTGATCAACATAATAAATGCTCTACAGGCTTACAGCTTTCCAAGATTATCCTTGGTTATAGCAAAAGAGAGAGTCCTAAGCTCCATACATATAAAGCCCTAGGCTTGAACAAGTATCAAATACAAAACAATAACAAAATAGAGTCTTCAACTCCTAGGTCCTCTGAAGCTAAGTCCTTAGATGAGGCATGTCACCAACACCTGAAAATGATTTTTCCAAGTAGAGTGAGCCAAAACCCAGTAGAAACAATCTAGCACAATATATGAACTTTAACAAAGATATAAGTATGATGCACAAGTTCAATGTCAAATGATAAAATCTTTTACAACTCTATCCCACAATCATGCTATGTCAGACTTACATCTCAATCCTTGTTGTATCGATTCATTAGTCATACCTATTTAATTTAATCAACCACACTAAGGATACAACTCAGTGGTTCTCTAATCAATACAACCATCACACAATCACTTCCATTTTGCCATTTTATGAAAATTTCGTCCACGGGATCGGCACCCATTTATACAAATAGTTTTCGAGATTTTCACACTGGACACACAGGCTAACTTAATTCACTGGAGTCTATCCCCTTTCTCCTCTCAAACATGGAGTACATCCCATTTCTCCTCCCAAACATTATACATATGCAATGTATTACAAACACGGTCATATACAATGACAAATGAGAAGATATTAGTTTCAATTCACCTAATCCTCATACAATTTCTACAACAATCATTGCTATCATCCACCGATAGTCCAAAACAGATATTTCTAAATAGATATACAATCTTCACAATAGATAAATCATCCAGATTTCCATAAGTGAGAGGTAATACATATCTAACTCCACCATTTATTTAGACATCTATCCAACTTCATATTTCCAATACCAATTTCGTTATTTCTACAAAATAATTATTCAAAAACATTTTAGGGCAAAATCACCCATTTTCCCAATATCTTCCCAAACACCCAAATCAACCATTTTAACATAACACAAGCTCATATTTTCTCCCATAACCATTTCCAATGCAATTATTCGAAAACCTCTCTTTTGATTTTAAACCAAAACCCTAGGTTTGTCTAAAATCACCACAAATTCCAATATTTCTTACACATCGACGAATAACTAAATTAAAACTCATAGAAGAGTATAGAAAATCCCTACCTCAAGTTTAGAAGACCAAGGGTATAGTGATCCCGACTTTTTCCCATTACTTATAGTGTTTCGGACTCGAGTTCTGTGGTTGTATGTTGTTGTCTGTATCTCGTTTCCATCCTTTGATTCTTTGTATTTGAGTTTTGGGATGTGTTGGGTGAGTTTGGAACAGGTTGGTTGTGAGTTAGAGCAAAAGATTACTGTCCGAAATTTGGCTTCTTAGCTCGAGCGAGCTTTCTTGCACTTGAGCGAGCCTTGGGTGTTTGCATCTTCGCTCGAGCGAGGGTTTGTGTGCAGGAGCGAGTATTGTGCGTCTTCAGGTTTCTTTTTCAGACGTAACTTATGCTCGAGCGAGCTTTCTTACGCTCGAGCGAGTCTTGTGTCTTGTGTCTCTTTGCTTGAGTGAGTAGTCTTGCGCTCGAGCGTGCGTCTGCGTCTCTTTTAGACCTGAAGGTTGGTATTCTTCGCTCGAGCGAGCGAGCCCTTCTTGTGCTCGAGCGAGGTTCTTTTGTGTTTAGTCGCTCAAGCGACCAATCCTTCGCTCGAGCGAGTATCGTATTTGTCAGTTCGTAGCAGGGGTCTTCTCCTTCACTTTTTGATCTTCTTTTCACTAAAAACCCTAGGTCCGGCTGCCTCTCTCTCTAAACACACCTTCTCTCTACAAATATACTGTGTTCTAGAGGTTTTCTACCTTAGTCCCTTTGTTAAAAGGCTTGAGCTTCGCGTGGGCTACTTTTTTACCCGAAAAAGTTTGGGTTTGGAGCATGTTGAGTTTTCCACTTCATCTCCTTTAAGCTTCTCCATTTGAGGTAGGGATAAACTACTCCTTTTTATAAGTTTTAACATAAATACTAGTCATTTTGAATAAATGGAGAAATTGGGAAAATTTTGGAAAGTTAGGGTTTGAGATTTGTAATATTTAAAAGAGGGGTTTTGTGTTTTTAAGCTCCATGTGCATATGAGGTCTTGGAAATGGGGTTTTGTGGGTTTGATTGGTGAAATTTGGTCTTAGGATCAATGTTTGAGAAAATAAGGAAAATGCCCTAATTGAATTTAAATAATCAATTTGTATAATAAATTTGGAAATAGTGGGAATATGAAATTGATTTGAAAATCATGAAATTGGATGGAATTGGGACTAATTGGCGTAGTTAGATTGATGAATCACTCGCCGATGGAAAATGTAATAAATTATCTGTTTGATAGATTTATTTATCTGTTTAGAAATAACTGTTTGGGACTATCGGTGGAGGATATTCTTGATTGTTGTAGACAATGCATGATGATTAGGGAAATTGAAACTAATCAATTGGATTGTGTCATTGAATGTGACGGTGGAATTAACACATTGAATATGTGAAATGTTGGGTCATTGTATACGACTATGTGTTTAAAAACATTGTATATGTATATTGTGTGGGAGGAGATAAGGGATGTACTCCATTTGTTTGGGAGGAGATAGGGGATGAACTCCATTGCTAATTAAGTTAGCTGGAGTGTCCAGGGTGAAAGTCCCAAAATCCTTTGTATATTTGGGTGCCAGTTCCCTCGGACGTAGTTCCGTAAAATGGCAAGAAAATGGAAATGTTGAATGTTATTGATTATTGAAGTGTTGATATATGAGTTGTAGTCTCATTTTGAATTGTTTGAATAATATTGAGTATGGTAAGTGGATTGGTTATGGAACGAATGTAAGTTGGCTTATAAAGGTTAAACATTTATCAAATGCTAGTGCTTTAGTTAATCCTCATATAATGTTTAGCGTATCTCTACTGGGCTTTGGCTCATCCTATTTGGGACATCATTTTCAGGTACAGGTGTTATGCCACCTCCAAGATAGCTTGGAAGGCTTAGGAGTTGAAGACTTCTTTTTTGTTATTTTGTTGATGTTACATAGAAATTCAAGCCAAGGGCTTTATATGTAAAAGAGTTAGAACTCTTCTTTTGTGTAACCAAGTATCGACTTGGGAGGTTGTAAGCCGTTGGACATCTATTTTTGTTGACAAACATGTAATATCTTTTGTATAGAATACTCTGATGTATGGAATATAATACTTCTTTTATGTTTTATGGATCTTATGAATGAATGATTTATGCCTTATTTTGAGGGCGTTGCAACTTGGTATCAGAGCGTACCGGGTTTGAATACTTTGGGTACGTGGGAAGTGGTTAGTACCACAACGGGTTTGTCTCGCTTGTTAGAGACCTAAGTGTAATGTTGTGTGCTTATGTGACAACATATTTATGTGACTATATGGGTATGGGATTTGATTTCCAGGATATTGATCGGGTCTATGGGTTTTTGGGAGTCTTGTTGGAAAGGCACTTGATCACTTCCATTTCTAACTGGAACTCTAGCAATGCTGCAGAACG